CAGAAGGATTTTTGTTTTTGTCCTATTTACAAGTTACACATAGAATAAAATTATTATAATCATGCAATTTATATGGTTAGATAATATATATTTTTTAAATTGGTTATTGGTGTCAATTTTTCAATTAAAAAAACACGTAGAATCGTAAGGTGCACGAGATTGAAGATTCGTTTTTCATAAAAAAATAAATGAATTTTTAGTTTTAGAAAGAGTCTGGGAAGAGAAGTTGTAGGGATCGAAACAGCAACGTCGGGGCAATGGCCAATGCAACCACCATAATTTTCATATTTCATTACACTTCTTCTTGTTAAAAAAAAAATGAGGCAGTACAATCTATGGAGCTTCTGGCTTACGTAGTCTTTAAACAACATTTGTCTATACTAATACAAACTATTAAACGATATGTGTCACTAATTTAATAGAGTTTTTAATATACAAATATTTCTCTATTTCAAAATATTTGATTTTTTAGAGTTTTCACAAATATTGTCTGTTCACATGCTCATTTGTGTTCGTTTCGTGCCTCTATGGTGCGGATCTATTCTCGGTTTAAAACCGAAGATCTACTGCTCACCGCTCCACAACCCACATCACCTCACAGGATCCCTCCACCATCCACCACCACCTTGCAACTTTTGATTCCAGTGCTCACATCCCTTATCGCTCTTGCTCCTTCACCAGCCATGTCGTCTTCTCGGTCAACATAGCCGAAGATCTACTTCTCATCGTTCTGCTCCGCTCGCTCTTTTCCTCTGGCTTCCATCACTCTTCAATAACCAAGCCATGGGAAGCCCAAAAACCCACCGCCGTCGCTACCCCCTTTCTAAACCCTAGAAGCCCACCGACTCTGGTGTCGACAGCTTGTTACTGGATCGAGTCAGGGAGAGATCTAGGACGAGATTTGCATCAACCGGATCTGTTGTCTTGTCCTCTGTTGTTGTCCACGAGCAAAGTTTCTTGTAGATCTATTGGCTTCTCCAAGATAAATCTAATCCAGTCTTCTGATGGTATCAAGCCCACACCGCCGACGACCTTTTCCGACGAGGTATGTCTCATTGACGCATGGTTTTCCAGTAAGATGCTTCTGACATTGCATATCTCCTACCAGCCGCTCCACCTCCAGCCTCCAAAAGATCAGATTTTTCGGCGACGATGTACAACAAGCTGAGATAGGCCGAGACTGGATCTCACTCTTGTTGGGCCTGGTGAGCCTAGAAAATTATGATAATCTCTCTGTTAAGTCATTTTGTTCTCTTTTGTGCAGAGACTTACTTTCAACATATTTCCTCCTTTATGGAGAGATTAAGACCAACATTCTTCTCTTCTTTGAAGAGATTATCTTCACCAACTTCCTCCATTCCGGAGAGATCGCTTTCATCATTTTTCTCTGTTTCAGAGAGAACCAATCCACCAACATTCTCTTTATCGAGAACGTCTTCAAACGCTCGGGCTTCATTGTCCTAAGAGCTCAAAGTAGTTTTGTTCGCTCGTCTTCAACGACAGAAGAACTAGCCTTTTCTAAGGAGCTATCAGTTGTTACCTATGAGTATAACCTCCTATCTTTACATTATCTTGTTTTTTCCTTAATCCTTGTTATAATTTCGAACTCCTTGGCATCGAGTTCTCTGCTTATCTTTGTAAAATTAATATAAAACATTTAGATCCAAAAAAAAAAGAAGAGAGTTTTCATAAATATTAAAAAAAAATTAATGTTTACCAATAAATGCATTGTATTTTGAGAAATTTCAAAAAATGCCACTTTCCAAGTGTCACTTTTCAAAATGCCACATTTTCAAAATCTTTGCAAAAATGTCATTTTTTCAAAATTATTTTTCATTATATA